GATCACATCCATATATTTCTCTAAGTCTCTCGCCAAATCCATACCTGATTGAAAACCCTCAAGTATTTTAACCCTGGTCCAACCTTTGAATTGAAGTTTCAACAGTATTTTATCGTCAATCCTTCCCTATGAAATCTTCATGCAGCTTGTCAAATCTGCTGTCTATTGAAGCTGGCATAGTGAACACAGACATGATGTTGATATATATGCCAATTCCTCTTGACTAGACTAACCCGAACTTCTCCATATCCAGGGGTTCCACATACCTTTTCATTTGAATGGTGCTCCGGGCTCCTGGAGAACCCAATTAGGCGCATGGAAGAAAACTTAACTGCTTGCCCCAAATTCCTAGTCAAAACCAAGCTACCAACCACTTCTCCAGCTAGAATTTCTGAACTTTTGGTGAGGTTGGTACAAAACTATAAGACTGGCCCAAAGCATAATAGAACATGCCTAAGATACCTGAGCTGTTATTTATCCACACACTGGGAAAACATTGTGGTATTGTTTGCAAAAAGAATATTTGAGACTTCCAATGGGGTCTGCCCCCTTCCCCACTCTGATTTTTTTATCATCTCCCCTCCACAGTTCTGCCCAAAAGCTTGCTCAGGCTCCATCACCATTGACCAATATGAAAAGCAAAGGGGATAGCTGACACGTTTGAAGCATTCAATCTGTTAAGCTTCTTTTTATGAGTTATATTTGTATTGAAATGGTCTTGCCATCCAATTCATAAGCTGTCTGGACTCTTGCCTTCAAAAAATTGATGTCATACTTGTTCTAGCCAATGAGCTCGGATGCGAACTAGTTAAAAGAGATTGTTATCAACTGGACTTACTAGTCAACATCTACTAGGGTGTGCATGCCTGTTGCACTCCTTTTTCCCCCCTTTGTCTTTTGAACCATATTTGGCTGACTGTCTGAATAATTCACAGGTACAGTGCCCACTAAGCTACTTTTGCAGCTAGCAACAGTCTTCCAAAAGGGTGGATTATGTGACAGGAGCAGAACTGTCTTTTACAAAGATCATCTGCACAAAAGTGAAGTGCCTGTTTTAGCAATTGCTGGTGACCAAGATCTAATCTGTCCAGCTGAGGCTGTATGGTGAAGGATCAATTTAGCATTGTTCATGTCTTATATTTTAGGGAGTCTAATTTGTCAAATGACTTTTGAGTGTTTTTAATGGGACAGAAACAGTCAAGCTGATTCCTGAGCGTTTGTTTACGTACAAAGTTTTTGGTGAACGGCGCGGTCCACATTATGGGCACTATGACTTAGTGGGAGGTCATTTGGTATGTGCTAAATGTGTTTTAAAATTGACTTTCTTTTAACCATTGTGAAAGCATTACATATTCCAAGTTGTATAACTATTTCCTTCAAATAATTTTCACAATTTTCTAAATGCAGGCAGCCGTCAAGTTTATCCACTTATAATTGAGTTTCTAACTCGTCATGATGAAACCTAGCCATGTGAAGCCATACATGACAGACATCGGTTTCTCTCTTATGCTTTCTTTCTAAGTTCTGTCGTTGAAAAATGAAGTTATCCCAATGAAGAATCACTTTAAATAGAAGAAAATCCCGGATGCCTATCAATCTGTGTGGTATGAGAGAAAGGAAGCTGTGAATATGTATATGTGGTGGTAGTGTTGTTGTTGTAAGCAGTTCAGAGGTGTCCATGATCGGTTGACGAAATAGCAAATGTAAATATTACACACTAAAACAAATGTTCCTCCTAAGCATTATTACATCTCAGATTCCGAGATTAGCTTCTAAAGATGCATCCTTCTAGGAGTGCTGTGGGTGAAATAATGAACTTGTATCGGTTATTGACTTTTGTATCAGTTTGCTGTATAGTGAAGTTTTCTGGAGCAAGTACTGGACTCATCTTTCTTTTATTGCCAGCCAGAAACATAAAAATGATTCCTGTCCAGTTTTCTTATACAAAATGCGTATGATGTTGAAGATACATTATGATTCAATTTGTTGAAAGCTGTTGTGAGAGCAACTGACATGCGTTTGTATTATTCTTTTTTTATGAACAGTGATGGATCTAGCCTATTCTTGAGAGAGAGAGAGAGAGAGAGTCCGTTCAGGAATGATTTTTGGACTCTTAACAAAAGAGGGTCTTTTTAGTTATTTCACTCTCGAACCAAAAATAAACAAATTGTTTTATTCTTTTTTGTGTGCTTCTGATAAAATGCAAATCAATACCAAACCAAGGAAGAAAACAATTGCTCTGACCTAAGCAAAGACTGGACTAGTTTTCCTCCCTCCAGCTCCCAGCTCAGGTGCCAGGGGGAAACACACTTCAATTCTCGAGAAGGCATCAAGTAGTTTGGATACACCACCACCACCACAACACACACACTACCCCAACCAAAAAAAAAAACTTCCCCCATGTTCAGTCCAAATTAATTTCTGGGCAGAAACTATAATCTATGCCAAAAATAAATGTGCCTTCCCTCTCACAAAGGATCCAGACAAGCTTGAAGGTGTCTTGATTTCATTTTAAGACCGGGAAGAAAACTTTCAAGTTTTATCTGCAGAATTGGAGCCAAGGCATGAAAACCAGAATCAATACTTTTGCATTCAAATTTGTAAACAGAATAAAAGGATGTCATTACCAAAAGCGGCAAGTGCAGTACACATTAAACATTTGCCAAACAGTAAGAAGCGGGAAAATGAAAGATATTGTGATTTGATGAAATGGTAAAGCTCATATCACAATCTCCATCAGATTCCTAAACAAGCTCCAATCGTACGGGACTAACAACCGAAAAAAACGGCCCATCATTCATATTAAGGACATAGGAACAAAATGCCACACCAAAGAATAGCAGTTTGCTTGTATTGAAGATGTAATCTGTACAGAGGAGACCCAAAACAGCTGTCCAAAAACCACCAGGGCTGATGGAAGTGTGAGAAGTCATCCAGCCTAGCATTGAGTCACGGCTGCGGTTTTACAGACAGGGCAGGTATTTTTCTGCACAAGCCACTGCTTTATGCAATGGATGTGATACAAGTGCCCACAATCGAGCTTGCCCATGTCATCCTCTGTGTCATATTCCTCCTGAATTTAAATTGAAAAAACAGTAAATGCATGTGAAGATTGGGAACAAATCAAATAGCAGATTTGAAGAAAGATTTGACAACTAAAAGCAATGCTAGTAACATTTTTTTATAAATTACCTGACAAATGCTGCACTTCCGCTCCATTTCTGTAGGGAAATGTAATGGAAAACCACCCGAAATGGAAAGCTTAGTTTTCCTGAGACAGCATATTATCTCCTCTTCTCTCAATCCGGTATTAACGTATCCAATTCTATCACCAAGCTCAAGTAATTCCTGTTGGCACCACCAAATCAAGATATTTGCACAAAAGTGAAGATTAAGTGACCCAAGTACATGAAAATTTTCAATCAAAACAAGGACACAGGCATTTACTAGGTAAACATAGAGACCTCATACGACATTTTATCAACATCAAGTCTCCAGTCCTTGTGGCGATCAAGTCCATCTGACCTTCCTCCCATCATTAAACTTCTTTGGAGCATAACAATCTGCACCCAGACAATACTATTTTAAGTACATCTGTACTTAAAAATGAAATCAAAGTACACTTTATAGGCTTCTAGCTATATTCTTTAAGTGACAACGACTAACAATCAAAAAATACACACTTGACTTCTATAATATTGCTGAAGTTTGGAGAACCCACAAACCAATAGACACTTCAAAACAATGGTGGAAACTAAGAATTCTGATAATAACATAAGATCCCAATATTTTTGAATCAACGTCGCACAGAATTAATTTAAGCAATCAATTAGAATTAGCCCGGAAAAAGGCAGATTGATCATGATTTCTCATGGGGAGATAATCATTAAACAATGCATACCAAGTGCAATTTTTATACAGGTCATTAACTGAGGAAATGTGGGGACTTAACGTTGAAAAGAGAATCCAAGTTGAATAATAGCTACTCTGTGCAGCCTTTCAAAAGAGGGTCAGTTATTACCAATTTCTAAACAATAATGATTCAATGCAGAAAATGAATATCAGGCACACGCAAGAACCACTTACGACAAATTGATTTACCTCACTGCATTGATGGAATTTCTCCTCCTGTGTCCTAGGGGTGGACAATAACTAATTTCGTGAGAACATTATGAAACAAAATTACTTTACCGGTGTTTTCTATGAATACCTATGAAACTCTTTATTCATATTAGGCCCTTTTTTCTAATGAATTACCCTTTTAAATATCACTGTACAATGACCTTACAAGCTCTTAAAGTAAGGAACAAGCTCATTAACTCAAATATTCAATTTCTCAAGTACCAACAAAATTAGCTCTTTACTGATCAATTGACTGGCTATGTAACTAGTTCAATCCCAACTCATGTTTTTCATTGCTTCTACTTACAATAGGTGGTGATTGATAGATACATTAGAATAGATGGTGATTGATATAGCCATCCATGATCATAATTTCCAGAATGAGTACTGCTTGCAACATGATAGTTTTGATGGGTAGCAAAACATTGAACTTCCTATTGGAAGCCTCTTCATAGATTTTCTAGAAAAAGCTTCTCTGAAAGTTTCAGTGTAGCATCTATAACTTCCTCTTTTTTAGGCGGGCAACCCAATAAAAAGATATCCACATGAATTTGTTTTCTAAGTCTTATACACTAGCTTATAAACTTTAACAATTATGTTCGTAATCAAGGATTCAAATTTGTTTCTTTTTGTTTCAGACGAAACAACCAAAACATTTTGAAAACAAATCAGTGATTAAAAATTGAACTCTAATATTTCGGTACTTTTCGGGATATTCTGGAATCTAAATTTCAAATTTTTTATCTATTTTCATTTTTTTTTTTTGAAAAGTTTTGAACCTTTTCCGAAATATTTATATTTCCATGTAGACCAAAACTATGTACTGAAACAAAATTTCGATTCATGTCATTCCTATAATAAGCATGTCATCCTTTTCTTTTCCTTATCTTTAACATTCAAAACACCAACTCATACATAATCTATGACATTAGTTATTGTCGCAAAAGGGAAAAAGAATTGATGACATATTTTTGCTAAGGGCCTCTGGCTTGACAATCTAGGTTCTTAAAAGACTAGCAGATATACAAGAACCCCAAAATAGTGGTTTACTAGGTCAATAATTCTAAAGGCTAGGTATAATATTTCCAAAGGATATGTACTAATGATATCACCTTGTCATAGACAACATGCAAGTATACTGCTATCTTTCTACTGTGCAACATGTAAACCATAGACTTCAAATACATACTTGGTTAATTGGGAAAGAATTAATACAAAATTCCTTTGGCAAGATTCGATGACAAAATAATCCAAGTCAAGGTTCATGACAATCGCTTAAATCTCAAGTAGTTAACATGGCACCCAACAATGACTAGTACCAAATTTAGAGAAATTTGAGATTTCATGGTATGAAGAAGTTGAAAATAGAATATTGAGGATTAGTGTTTAAGAAATTCAAAGAGGAGGAGAAAGAAATAGATTGTGAAAAAATGTGTTGCATCCCTCTTATTTATAATAGACTGACACTACCAGTAATTACAATATTGCCCTACACTACTAATAATGTAAACTAAGAACTCTAAAAGTTTCCCTCAAGGTGGAACATAAAATCAAAGATGCCCAGCTTGGAGTAAAGATTATTGAAGACAAATTGAGCCAATGGTTTGGTAAGGATGTCACCCAGATGATCAATAGACTTGATGTATGGTGTGGTAATCTCCTTTCGCATCAAGAGATTTCGACTAAAATGGCAATCCACTTCAATGTATTTAATCCTCTCATGAAATATCGACTCACTAGCAATGAAAATAGCTTGGTTGTCACAATACACCGGCATAGGAGAAGGCACATGGATAACCATATCACGAAGTAGAGAATGAACCCACAACATCAACAGGAGAATTCTAAAAGGAGAAGGAGAATTCCACAATGACGGATTGTGGATGTTGGTTCGTTGATTTTGAAGCTAGTTGTCAAGACGTTTGTGGTGAATATCTAGAGTAAAGATTCAAAGGAGAAAACTTCAAGGCATGGAATGGGTTGAGGTATAAGTCTTCGAACTTGTAAGCTAAGTTTTAAATTAGTGGATTAGGTTTAGGTTTACCAAGATTGGTCCTGTGATTTTTCTCGAGAGGATTTCCATATAAAAATTGCATGTGTCGTGTGATTGCTTACTTTTACACACCTACCATTTTTTATTCCTTCTTCATTCTTGGTTGAATGATCGAGCAAATCTAACATGTGTTGGTGGCCGTTCAATTTGTACATATTTGGTGATTTGGTGGACAGGATTCGATGTGTTTGAATTAGTGGATTGTGCTGAATTAAACTACGTTAAATTCAATTACACATTCACTAATTAGGTCAAAGGTCGTGATCATATAGGGGTTTAAACTTGTAATTATGTGAGCTAGGTTTCATTTGGGTATAATTTCTAGTTTGAGTTCATAATACATATTCGCCTCCTTTAGGTCACATTGTGTTGCTTCAACATTCAAGGTCAATCTCATATTTTGCACTCCCAAATAGATAATGTCACGATTAGCACAAAAAAGTTTTCATAAATGATTGATTATATTCAAGGGCATTGTTAGACCGAAGAACGTTGATACGTATGTCAAATTGAACTAGAATTTCATTATAAAATGAAGTAAAGACCTTAAGCAATTTAGATCGGTCTTTCATAAGGAATAACCAAGTAATACGAGAGAAATTATCAACAAAAATTATAAAATAATAAAAATCAAAAATACTTTTGAAACTTGCAAGACCCCAAATGTCTGAATGGATAATATTAAAAGTTCATGACTTGAAGAGCTAGGAGGAAAAGAACTATGGTGATATTTGCCTTATTTACTAGCCTAACACTCTAACACACATGAAGAACTCAAACCAAGGATAACTTGAGCAACTTCTCAAGAAAGAATGACTCAGTTAAAAGTGTCACTGAAGAAGAGACACGATAGCACTTAAGGTAGTAATAAGAACTTTGGGATCCAAATAATAAAGGTTATTACTCTCATGTCGTGAATCAATCACCTTCTTCGTCCTAAAATCCTGGTTAATGGCATAGATTGAGTACAACGAAAATCACTAGTTCCATGCACGGGTCAAAAAGAACCACTAACTAACACAATACGTGAGTTAGACAATGGGAAGAAATACCATACATATGAGCACTAACTCCTAAATCAATGATCTACGTAGACGAAGAAGGTTGGGTAGCCACACATGCAGAGTTGGCTCCATTAGTAAAAACTATGATAGAAGCAGATAAATGTGAAAAAGTGAAGATAACCGTTGGATGAGCTGACTAATCTGAGAAGAAAGATCATCATGAGAGCTGGAAGTAGATGTAACTGGACCATCGATATAAGCTAATGCATTAGAGAACCTAAAGTATCATAAGAAGCTAGATTTTTATATGCTGGTCTTCCATTCTTATCTCAATAATCCTCAGTACGTCTTATACCACCATAATAAGTACACTTTCATCCAAAATGATTACCACGACTAGAACAACCACCACCTCACCCACAAGGACTGGTATTATAGGGTGGACCATGTCCACCACCATGATCGCCACCAAAGACACAATTGACATTATTCAACATCCCCATTGTTCAAACCATAATCAACTATGCCGCAATTGGAACCACACGGACCAATGGTATGCAACAATCAACAATCCCACAATGTATGAGAGAGAACAAGAAACCCAAACAGAAATCCAACACGGCATCTGCCCAGAACATACACAATAGCAAATGGACAAACTAGGGACTTCGTCGAAACCGTGACCAACAACTGCCAAGGAAAAGTAACTGCCGACCACCTTCTTCGAGCAAAAAAGCTCAAAAAAAATTAACCAAAAGAGAATGGATACCACAGATTCCACATGGGTACTTCAGATTCAACCTCCTTATCTCTCAATTGCAACCCAGGGCAAAATCTCCTATGACAAAATCATCCAAACAGACTTAAAATAGGAAAGCTGAACCACTGACCAAGTTAAAAAACACTCATAGATCAACGAAATACCAATAGGTCATTCAAAACAACCTTCACAAGGCTTAATAGGCACATTTAGGACTACAGTGCAGCATCAAACACCCTTGGATTACGTGAAAATACTAAATTGAAGAATCGGCCCAATATTTTTCTAAAAATATTCGAAAATAGGAAAAGAACATTCAAGCAACTTCAAAAAAACACTATAAAAAAATCAGCACAAAAAATCAAGTCCATACATGGTTTTGGATCTCCGGAAAAATTTAACTACAGGATGACATTAGCAACATCAACAATAGGGTTTTTTGTTGGAGATTTTTCTTGAATTTGTCGACAATGTGTTACCAAGTTAAAACTACAATATTGAGGATTAAGGATTAGGAAATAGAAAAACGAGGAGAAAGCAGATAGAAAGAAATAGAGTGTGAAATAATTTCTATACAGGATGTGTTGTCCTACACCCTCT